GATATCTGCTCGGTCAGCACGGGTCTTTGCACTGCAGCAATAATGGCTCCTGTCAGAGAAGCATTTGTGAATGATTTTACATGGCAATAGCCCAGAAGTTAATTCTCAACCGGTCTTTCAGTGCACGTAACTGCTGATTTTCTGAAAGCAGTCAGTATTGTAATTGCAGGCTCCCTCTTTGTGCACCGACTTAAAAAATCATCTTTACGTGAAAATCCCACATGACTGACAGTTTGATTGCATGGTAGGTGGTGTGGCAGGACCTGACAGCGGATTTAATGTTCTCCTTTGTATGAATTTCATCACAGTCGGTCTTATTTCCCCCGAGTGAGTCGCACGTGGCTCAGCTGTGTTGAGAACGGTCCCGTCTGTCAGCACTCAGGCCTGCGACGGCAAGACTGTCTCTGCAAATCCCCCTGTACTCCAGCTTTATGAGAAGTCCCCAGGAACACAAGCAGTTCTGTCGCCGCATCTGTAAGCGGAATACTGACAGAATCGGGGAGGGGAATTCAAGTGCTTCGCCTGTGGCTCACTGCACATCTTTCCTCTGGCTGCAGTGCAGATGCCTGAGATGTCTCACAGAGTTGAGATGTACACCCAGCACCGCAACAATTTGAGCAAGCAATCCTGGTTTGTCAGAGCTGGCTGTGGTTAGCACCACAGGGTTCACATGTGCCACATCTTCTCAGACATGGTTTTGATTTCCACGAAGAGGAATGCAGTTTCCCGGGGCCTGGAAAGAGCTCCGTCTGTGTATTGGCTGTTCCCCAGCGGGTTCTTTTACTGCAGAGCCTGAGGGGTGCGTCCCCCATCCCGCTAGAAGCAGAGCGGTTTGGGAATGCTTCTGTCTGCCGTTACTGTGTCCGTTGTTTTGCTGAGGGTCAGCATCCCAGCTTTCCCCGTCGCAGGCCGGGACTGAACGAGAAACTGCTGTAATTTCATTGTGCTCTTTGCCCTGTCCTCCCTAATGCATGAATCATGAATGAAGGGATTGTTTCGCCTGGAAATCCCTGCACTGTGTCTGATTTAGTGGGGAGAAATTAACCTGCATTTGTTTTTCTGTTTGTCTTTGGGGATGTAGATATTTGGGCTATAGGTTGCATATTTGCTGAACTGTTAACGTCTGAGCCCATATTTCACTGTCGACAAGAAGACATCAAAACCAGTAACCCCTACCACCACGACCAGCTGGACCGCATTTTCAACGTCATGGGCTTCCCTGCAGGTGAGAGGGCACCGCCCGGCCATGACCCGCAGCGGAAGAAAGACCGTAGAACCGGGAACTGCAGTCAAAGTAGATTGAGCCATTCCGTGTTTTGGCATTCTGGAGCCATGCCCTGCTGGTTTCCTCACTGTCGGTGAATTAGTGTGGGCTAGACCCGGGCCAAAGTATATTTAACACGTTTCACTTTCCCCCTTTTCAAAACAGTTTGTTCAAGAGCGAGCATGTGGTAAAACCTGAAATGGACCAGACTACTATACAATGTGAGGGATAGTTCCCTACCCTGTCATCATCTAGTACTTGTAGTTCAAGCTCAAGGTTTCTCATCTCCGGTTATTTTGTAGCTCCACAGCAAGAATGTATATAGGTAATAGTAAATGTATATATAGCTTTAATAGGTAAGGGAAAAATGAACATTTGTGTGTACATCTGGGTACCCTGAAACATTTTCCAGAGGGAAATTCAGATGAATCCGCCTGTCTAATTGTGGATTGTTCAAAAACTGTCTGCAAGGAGGAGAGCTGCTTCTCTCCATAGCTTTCACTCCTGTTTGGACAGGAAGGGTGATAGTAGTTCGGGCAGGGAGCTGCGCAGGCTGCAAAGGAACAAGGAAAGGTTTATTCCCTGCTGAAAATAGAGGAAACAAAACAACGTTTCAGCTTTGAAGCCTTTTTCAGGTCCGAAACGTTGTTACCTTACTTCTCTTTCAGCATGGAATAAACGTTTACTTGTTCAATTCCAAGACAGGTGATATTTGATCCAAATCGTGCCAATAAATAACCAGACCACACCGTTATATATCTAATAACGCTCTCGTTTACGGCACAATAGGAGGAGCATGATTTCCTACCGAGCTCCAAACACTCTAAATGTTCGTTTTTTTTGTTCCTTTGGAAAATATTTTTCATCTGCTTCACAGCAGCTCTGTGATTTTCCAGATTTCAGCAGCCTCCTCCCTTAGGGAGCTGTGGGATGAGCTTTGTTTCTAAAGGGGTGGGATTAGTGCCGAAGGTGAATGTCCGCTTCTCTAATGTGCAATGGAACTCAAGGTGCATGCGCTAGCTGCCCAGAAATCGGAGGCTGCAAAAATGGCATGTTCTGCTGACGGATGTGAATTCGCCCGATTTTTTTGGAATCGCCAGGATAGAGCAGTTCCATTTTCTGTGGGGTTTATCGAAGAGTGGACCCTAAGTGGCAGTGACAGGGGGCTACAATGGAATTGCAGGGCTGAGGAATCTGTAGCTCAGTGCTTTATAAGGAGCTTTTTTACACATGTTCTCAGTTTGCTGTGCATTTCTCCATACTGCTGCATATCTTCAGAGCTCCCGAGGTGAGGCTAGAGAATCCCTTGGTTCTTTCTTTGAGGCGTTTTTGTTTTTGCTCCTGTGGAGTTTTAGAAAACTGCCAGTCGAGACTGAGATTCCCTTTTCTTTAATGTAGAACAGGTAAGGCCGGCATGTGAATGGTCATTTTCCAAGATACCCAGTGCTCATGATAGGTAGCCGACCTCATCCTCCTGCCTGCTTTTCAAGGGGAGCTGATGTCAGAGGCATGTCTGTGGGTAGGATGTGCCGGACATGGGGGGTCCGGGTCCGTTTCACATTGGCGCGAACATCTATACTGCCCGCACATGGCCAGTGCCCATTAGTTCTGCTGCAGAACCGGATTGGTTAAGACCCGTGACGCTGGTGCTGTGGTTAACAAGGAGGTGTCCTGGGACGTCACCTGCAGAGTTGTTCCCTAAGAAATCTGTTGGCGTCACTCACACGTACCGCGAAAGTTACTGTGGGACAGGTTTTCAATGGGTCTGAGAGGATTTAGCTTCTACATAAAAATATTCCTCCCATATATTGCATCAAAAAT